ATTGCAAAGATTGTTTCGTCTGATGCTATGCTGTCACGTCAAACTATGCCTTCTCTGTTCCAATGGTGAAATTTAATGGTTTTGAAAGTGAGTGTTTTTGTCACGTCAAACTTTTGATTTTTTTTCTTGATGCTTTAATCATCTGTTGCTCACATTAAAGGAATCTAATTTCAACAACTACAGTCTACAGCAGCTTTTTTTTTGCAGTTTAGTATTGAATTAAGGGATTTTCCCAAAAGCAAAGGTTATGGGTTTTCAGCTGTAGAATTTTTGCCCAACCTTGGTTGGTCGCAGGTTGGGAACTGTTGTTAGATTCATAAGTTGGATCTAATTCCCCGAATGCATGCTTGTGCCAATTTTGGGTGCTTCTTTATGATTCACATGATCACTATTAATTCACTCAGCTGGAAGAATGGGGTTTGCGAAGACCTGTAAAGCATCCATCGAGATGGGTGAATTGCCTAGCCCGTATGTAATGTGTTAGGTAGACATGGATTTTAGAAGTGCGGGATCTGATATTATATTTGACGTGTTCTCATTATGCTCAACTAGTGAATATGCAATCAAATTTTAATTGCTACAAAGTATGTGGCCACATGCAATCAATCACATCAATGTTGAAGGAAGGCTTTGGGAAAAGATTTTAATGGAATTTGGCTAGTTTGATAGTGAGATTATAATTTGAATGAGTGGCAAGCCTACTATAAATGTTCTGTTTAGGCCGTGGTAGACGTTACCATTTTTGTCGGGTTAGACAAGTTAGGAGTTGTTAGGTTCATGATAACGCACATCCCCAATTTTGGTATGTTATGACCTTCTATGCACATCTCCAATTTTGGTATGTTATGACCTTCTATGCACATCTCCGTAAGGCACTCCTTAACCCCCAAATATTTAAATCCTTTGGTTCCATGATTAAAACTCTAAGTTTGCTAAGGTCAAACATGGTTTGGCCAGATTTTTTGATGTTTGGTGTCAGGAATAAATTAGGAAAGTAAATGGCAAATTGGTTAGAATTAATTTAAACTTTTTGCAATTTTTTTATGTACATGTTAAAACTAGTTTTGGTAACCACATACTCAAGCAATTTGATTAAAATATAGATACATGGATTCAGTCATTTTTATGTGAATGCTTCTAAACACAAATTATCTTACATTTAATTTACTTTTAAACAAAACCCAATTCTTTTAAAATTGAATTACATTTATATATAAAAATAGAACACAGTGACCATTATTTAACAAAAATTAAAGACATCGAAATTATTATCAATTTCTCAAATGAATCAAATAATTGTTTTGTTCTAGTTATTAGATTTTCAAGAGCATTTGTTGTTCTTTAACCAATTTCTCCAAGGAAAACTTTTGAACCAAGTATGCTCTTAATAGGTAAATTAGACAATGTATAACATTTTCCAAAAGAAAAAGGCAACCAATATTATTACTTTTTATAAATTTTAGTACCTAGGCGTTCTAAGATTTTTTTTTAGTATTTCAAGAAATCGAAGACTTCATTTAGAGATCTATTTTATTTTTACTTTTATTTATGATAGTAGCGTTCAATGTTGATGATACTTATATTTTTGGTGTTTATTGATTTTTAAATAAATTAATGACATGTGTTTTAACTTTAAATAAAAAGTTTTTTTAATATAAATATTTTTTTAAACTAATTTTTATAAGTTAGAAGATTAATTATAGTAGCAACAAATATTCTGTTCTGGAATGGGCATTTGGCTGACCCACTGTTGGGTACGGTTAAACACAATGACGTATCGAAGACGATCTAAATATTGATCCACTCTGTTGGGACTGTTGGAAACTACGTTCTCCACGTGCTCCTCATTCAAGGATACGTTATCAACTGACCCACGCACTTCGCAGAGTAGTTTCGCCCCTCGTTGAAACAAAAGATAACCTCAAAAAATAATGTCAAAGTCATTAAATCGACAGTCTGGTCTTGTGAAAAATACAAAGATCCTCGTGAGTGTAGACTGGGAAGGACCCTATCGCGCCCGAGTAAAAACAGAACATGAGGCCTACTACTTCAAAAATTTGCATGTGGAAAACTTGCTCGACCATAGAATAATATTAAAGTTAAGCCTGACAGTCGGCGTAACCCATTCGGCGATGACATGGTATATCCCGATCATAGGGCGTGCTCGGGTACAAGCACAACGTCCAAGCTTAAACAACAAGAAACTCGAATAAAAATGCAAGTTTTCACTCTTTTGAAGATAAGATTCTTGGTCCGACGGGGAACCCTCAACCGAGTTCCACTGTCGACGTACCATGAAGGCAGAACACCAAGCTCGCGATGGGAGGTTCACGCCGTGGAGTTAAGTCCTCGACCGAGATCTTAACTTCTCGACCGAGATCTTAACTCCGCTATCAAACAGAAGTCAACTCTGATCACTCGATGAGCTCTCTACATTGTCGAGCACCGCAACTGTCGAGCAAGATTCCCATACACATAGCAAAAGCAAAAGTAAACACATACATGAGCATAGCCTCGGGAAAAAATTAGAAGCGAATTACGGCGTTGAGCAGAAGTAACAACTTGAAGCGAGTTTACGTCGTCGAGCACAAGTAACACTTGAAGCGAATTTACGTCGTCGAGCACATGCGACAACTTCTACATTCCCCCACGAGCATGTCCTCGGGGGAAACTGGAAGCAAACTTACGAGCGTAGCCACGTCCTTGGATATTCAAACCCACGAGCAAGAGGTGTCCGTAGCACACATGTCCTACAACGACGCAAACTTGTAAATGCGCACTCAAATGAATGTTGACTTTCCACCTCGACACACGACTTGACTCTAAGTCATTGCTCCTTTTTCTAAGAACAACGACTTGGAGGCTCCTATTCTAGACTGACCTGTGGCTGATCCAATGTCGGGCACGATCCAACACAATGCAGTGTCGAGGACGATTCAAATGTTGGACCAATCCATTGGGACTGTTGGAAATCACGTGCTCCTTACTCGAGGACACGTCATCAACTGACCCACGCACTTCGCGGGGCAGTTTCACCCTCCGTAACGGAAAAGTCCGCCCATTATCCAAAGATTGCAGGGAAGTTGACAGGATGATGGCCACGAGCTAGTCATCCTTACTTTCACGTAGGAATCCTGACAGTCATCCATTATGGGCCTAAAATCCAGCCCATTACGGAGACCTTTGACCCAGCGCTGGGGACATTATAAATACCCTCCTATGCAAGAGGGTCAGGTAGGCTGAATTTTCACTCCTTAACCCCAGTGCTTGTCTTCTTTCACTCTGAACTAACTTTAGCATCGTAGTGCCTTGCAGGTATACCCTCCCTTTTTCCTCAACTGACATTGGTGACCACGACGTGTTGTTGGCCACCGATTTACTTGTGATCACAAGTAAGATCATATGCATTGAAATTAAAAGATATTTAAAATTAAATAATTTTTTTTTATAAATATTCATTCAAAATAGATTTAAATTTATATTACATTTTTTTTTAAAAAATTTATACATACAAAAATATTATAATAATATGATAAAATATTTAAAGCTTTTTCAAAAAATAATTATAATTTCTTTTAAAAAAAATTTAATTATGTAGAATCATTTAAAAAAAGTTTAAATTAATAATCCCTAATTCATTTCTAGATTTTCAAAAACTAATAAGAATTTCAAATCTAATATTGGGAAGAAATAACCACCACTTTTAAGAGTGATGGTGTCAAGCTTGCAGGTACATTAAGAGTGCGTGTTTGAAAAAGATAATTAGTTTTATGAAAATTTAAATGCTAAGTTTTTTCATTTTAAAATTATTTTATTTGAGTTAAGTAATTAAATACTTTATTGTTAAATTGTATGGACTATTTTTATGAATTTTAAGAATGATTCTAATTTAAAATTTAGAAAAATAACTAATTTTCAAAGAACCAATTTATATTTTTTGAAAAGATTATGAACCAATTTATAATTTTTTGATTTTATAAAAATCAATTTGAAAAAATATGATGATTTATTTATAAAACTTTAAAGATTTATCAGAACCAATTTAAATACCAATTTATATGTATTTCGTATAGAGTAAAGAAGAAATTCCAAATATTTTATTTTTAAGCTTCGTTTGCAAAATTTCTAATTTTAGTATGAACAAATTATTTCATAAATTTTCATCATTTAATTATTTTTTTCTAAATAATAAAATTTATATTAAAAAAAATTGAATTCTCTTAAAAAAAAGTAATTATCTCAATATTTTTCCATTTAAACACCAAGCAGTAAACTCTTTAAAAACTTTGGAAACACTTACAAAGTACATATATTACCTAAGTTAAAGAAACTGTATACTCAATTAGTTGATAGTTGCATTTGCATCATGCAATTTCGAACTCGTGATATATATCTACTTTTAGTTAACATAAGATTAATTCAGGAAAAAAAACTGTAGGCTAACTCTACACAGTCAGCAGCTAAACTATATCCCAATTTTAGAGCACATTTGCATTGGTCTGTTCTTCTAATAGTATAAAATGTGGGTTCAACTTTTACATGACCCTAGTTGAAATTAAACTTTTCCTCAGAATTATAGATTGTTCGTTGAATAATTGCTACTATACACTCTTGCTCTCGCTCCTAACTTCACCAAAGCAATAAGACTTGAATTCAACAAGAGAATGGTCTAATAAGTTACACTTGTCCAGAGATTTAATCTTCAGCGCTATGAGGCATGATTTGAAGAATGCTCCAATCCTTCATTTGTGCGTACCTTAGGTTATGACTATGGCTGCTTTGAAGAATTTGTAGTCCTGGCAGGTAGAAAACTGCACTACTACTCATTGGGGCAAATTGTTTGCTTGGAATGGATCATGTGCAAACTAGAAATCACAAATCTTAAGGTCGCGACTAACAAGACAATCTTGTTCCATCCTTTCTACCACATTCTAGCACGGCTAGAAATTCAGAACCTTGGAAACCTAATGGGTTTGTCAGTATTGGGGAGTAACTTTTTATCATGAGATCAACGTCTGACCCAGAACAAATGTAACCAGACTTAATTCTAGGAAGAAAATTGTGTTGACAAGAGACCGGTCCACTGTCCATCCAAATATAGTGATTCCTCCTGGATTTGACTGCAAGTACATTACTGCATATTCAAAAGGAAACAATAAGGGTGAGATCCATACATGTACATGCTAACAGCCTGAACTCTAGTGTTTCAGGCGATTTAGCATGACTGCCAAAGATCATTATGAATAAAAATTCAAGTCATAACAACACCTAAACAAGAAAAATTAAGAGAACTAATCTCTACATAAAATAAGAAATCTTACATCTGAAAAATGGTGATTTATGCACTCGATGTCATGAACACAAGGGAAACCAAGTAATTCATGTTTAAAGTGATATTTTTCCCAATAATTTTCTAAACTGGTGATTGGTTTCTCGCCTATTACCATTATATATTTTCTTTTAAGCTTCAGAAAATCTACTTTTTTTAGCTGAACTAATTGTTAAAAGTCTACCTTGCATGTGAAACATAAGAGTTTTACTATATCGGAAATTTGGGATCACAAATTAATGAATCCAATATCATACTTTCAAATTCATACACCTATGCCATTTAAAGAACTGCATGAAACATTATTAGACTATTTTAGGCTCAATCAAGATAAATTTATAAGCTTGCACTGCTGGAGTATATCTAGGGTGTCTTTATGCATTTTAAGTAGCTTGAAATTATGTCAGATTTTTTGTTTTTTCACTTCTCTGCATAGTCAGATTTTTATTACTTTACTTTTGCCATTAATTAGAAGAACTTGTAAAATTCACAGGTTTTCAGACAGAAAGTGGTTTATTTACTAACCGAAAGCTTGCCTCTTGTGATGTGAGGACATATAAGAAACCAATTGGGTATTTACAGCCATTCCTCCAAAATCTAACGACTCCAGATCACTTTCAGAATAGTCTATCTGTATTGAGTTTAAATGGTTTGCAACCTCAAGGTTCCCCGCACTCACGGAGCTTCTCATTTGTGACGTATCAGAAGATGTGCATGTTGCTATGGCATGCCACCGACTTGCAAGCGAAACAACGCCTTGAGCTCTATGAGAAATTCTTGTAGCTGCGTGAAGACAAATAATGATACCAACCACCTGAACAAGTGTGGATACCTGAAGGAAAAAAATGGACGGTTCAATCTATGTACCTTGAAAGCTTTACATGTTATTTAAGAAAGAAACAACTGCAGAAAAAACTTGGTGTAAATATGAACAGGGAATACTGCTTGAGCGCCTGATAGCTTTGTATGAATTAAAATGAACTAATGATTTCAATCAAAATGCATAAACACTTTTACAATAGAGTTGAACTTACAGCAAAATCTCCACCGTTTACGATGGTAACCATATCACGATATCCTGTGAGCTGCAACAGAGTCACAACTTGGCTAACAGTGACAACCAAGAACTCCAGAAGAAGATAGATTCTGAACCTATGGCTTATCTTGGAAAGATGATAGCGCAGCCGCATATGTTCTTCTAAAAACACTAACACATCACTCTCCCTCTCCAAGAGCTTCCCATAATCATCAAAATGGACAACTTGCAAATTACAGACCAAGTGAAACAAAATGCAGGCTGATAGAGAGATTGCACTAACATATGTCCATGATACAATCAAAGCTATAAAAATCATAATCGACAACCCCCATGATCCATGTTGTATATATGAAATGCGAATGATTTCTCGCACTGTCTTCAGGAGGAAACATGGAAATACCCACAGAATGAATAGACGCAAAGATCCCTATGAATTAAGAGGAAGGATAGTTAAATTTTCATCTGTAATTTCTAAACAAGTTCAGAAAACTGAAAAGGGAAAAATTTGAAAACATATCAAGCTCGCCTTACTTTTGACTAATCATATTATGAAAAACGCTTTTATAAGGGAAATATTTATCAAGTTCAAAATTTTTGAAAACTTAATTGCACTTTTGGGGAGAACTACACTGAATTTGGTTGCCATAGTTTCAATAGCTTAAATAAGTCCCTATGCCTAATCAAGTAATCTCCAACAACAACGCTCTCATCTGTTGAGTTTCTAATAGTCAAGTGGGTAGTTACTTATTTATAAAGTGAACTTTAAAGTGAACAAGTTAAATGTCACAGGTTCGAACCTGCGCTATTTCTGATGTCCCTACACAACTACCAACTCAGCTACCTTAATGAGGACAACTATATATTAGTATTCATACATATGCAATAAAATCAATCAATGATTTGTTCATCCACAATTGATATCGTTGTAATATGTTTTTCACAATTGATATTATTCATTTTCATTTCTAAATGAGTTGCTAACTTTACAGAAGCCAGCTGAAACTTTATGGATCAAAATCAACCATTCCCAAATATAATCAACGAAGCAGAAAAATCAGAATTTGGATTCTAGTTCCACACATTAAATGTGTGAAATAGTTATTGATTCTGGTCACGCTATCTCAAATCAATCGTCAAAATTACTTGAAAATATTTTGTTGAAGGTGTAATGCATCATCTACGAATGAATTAACGCAGTGAATCCAGATCCAAATCCAAGACATATATAGAAATGTTAGGCTGAACTTGAACCCTAAAAATGTCAAATAGCAAAAAATTTCTACTTGTACTAGCATTTCTCATCACAAGCGTTCGATATATGAATCTACACAACAAGACAAGAAAATTTCCAATCAAGTGTGAAATGACGACTATTGACTTACCGAAATCTGGTTGACATAATCGCGATGAAAGCAAGCAACGTGTCCAGTATAGCGGTCAACGAAGAGAAACCTGCGGAGTCCATACTTCCTCAAACAGTGCGAAAGACAGAGCAGAGAAACGGCGGCGAGACTCGCCTGAAATGCAACAATCACCATTTCACAGCCGCGTAACTCGTATTTCTCGCACTCCGGACAGTCGCACATCCACAACGCCGTCAACGGAAGCGCCACTCCTAGTATGAAGAAAACCGTCCAGCAAATGACGGAGTATAAAACGGAACGCGGATTAAACCCTAAGATATTCAAAAAGAGTTCCAAACGCGCGAGGGTTTTATCAACTTCAGTATCAGTTTTGTTATTAGCAGCTTGGTCTTCATGTTGGTGATTTGAATTTGAAGTTAGAAGAGGGACTTGATTTTCAGTGTTGGATTCAGCGGGTTTTTGTTCGGTTAGAATTTGGAGATTAGTCATTTGGTTAGTGTTTTTGGAAACTTTTATCTATGTATAAAATATTAATGTTGTTATTTGAAAAAAAAAGAAGTAAAAGCGAAGTAAGTGCGGTGGATTGAAAGCTGGTGGCGTGGGAATATGGGCATTTATGCACTTTTCTGATTTTAACATGCAAGTGACACGACCCGAAGAAATGGGGAAGGAAGGAAGAAGGAATAGTTAACTTATTTGTTTATTTTCTTTCAAGATAGTTTCCTTTTTAAAACAGAAAATAAATAAACAAATAATTCTGATTCACGTTTTCAGAAGCTTTGACTCTAATTTGGGAAGATTTTGATTGCACGTAATTAATTTTGAATCTTAAATGCAGGCTTGAAATTAATTATAATTTAAAAAATGAAGGAAAATGTTAAACTAAGTGTACATGTTAAACGGCCAAATAGAGAAAGTTTTTTTTAGCATGGGAATTTATTAGCAAGTCTAGAAATTATTTAGTTACTTTGTCATGAAGTTTCACTTGGATAATATATAAAGAGATGAGATGTACGGTAGGCAGAGAAGCCACATCCTCATGTTCTAGAGGAGGATTTGCAAATTAGGTTGCCAAAATCTGCCCATCGAGGTGTAGAAGTACAATTTTAATTAATATTGATAATAGTGTAGGCGAAATTAAAGAAGTTTCATTTAAGGTGAGGTTTAGGTTGTCTTGTGAAAAATATGGGTAAGTTATTTATGTGATATATATCCAATAAAGTTATGACACATGTAGTATAATAATAAGTTGTTTAAAAAAATTTTAATTTAATTTTTTGAATACATATTTTATCTTATTTATATTTTTAACTATACTGACATGTAATATTATTTTAAATTTTTAAGAGCAATGTTTCATTTTCCTTTATTTCTATTTTGTATATAATTTAATTAGTTTATATAGTTGTTTTTTTATTTTTTATTTTCACCCTCATTTGATTTTTTTCCCTTTATTATTTTTACGTTAAATTTATGAGAAAAGCTTTCCAACAAAACCCTAGCCCGCAAACTCAATTAAGTTCTCAAATTGTGTTGGATTTTTTCTATTTTTTTTTGTGATGATTTTCTCTCTCTAAGAATTAGTGAAGAATATTTGTCTCAAATTAATGAATTAACACAATTTATAATAATATATTATATTTGTTTTGGATGGCTGAAGTTGTATTCTTTGTCTTTTCGTTTGCAGTGGCAGAGCTTTCCGTGGTTGTTCTCATGAAGATCAATTCGTTTGGATTTACTTAAGATTCTTGTTTTGGTGTAAGACAAATTATCGGATTGGGTCCAAAAAATTCCATGGTTAAGTCGTGGCTAATAAGGGTCTAAATAAGTATTGATTATGTTTAAACGATAATTGATCCTGATAAGAAGAGATTGCTGAATGACCACGCGTCGTCGACTGATAGGTAGAGAGAAGGAGAGGGGTGTACCTGCAAAACACTCTGATGCTTAAGTGAGTAAAGGATCTGAGTGAGAGCAAATACAAAAATTAGGTGTAGAGAATGGAATACCTGACCCTCTAGTGAAATAGAGTATTTATAGAGAGATCCCAACGCAGGGTCAACGATTACTTTCATTGGACCAGATTGCGAGGCCCAACCCAAGTAACTGCTAGGGCTTACGTGGCGTAGTGAAGACCAGCACGTGGTCTTCGCCCTAGATCAACTATCCTGTGATCTCTGAAAGGTGGGCTGACCAGCTTTTTCGGAGGTGGGTAGTTGCTTGATGACGTGTCCCCGCATAGGGGAGCACGTGGAGAACGTGTGGAAGACGTGTGATTCTGCTCGACAAGAGAGGCATTTGCACGGTGTATCTAGCTTTGTACCCGACATGGGGGATTTGGGCCTTGTTGGGCATTCCCTACTTAATGTTGGGTTGAGCCTGCCCGACGAATGGACAGTCTGGGCCCACTCCAGAACAGGAGCCCCCAAAGTCGTTGCTTCGCTGCGGAGGAGTGGCGACTTGATAGCAACAATGTCGAGGACGTAATGGGGATGAGGATTGAGCTCGTCGAACTATCGCGTCGAGGATGTAACGGGGACGAGGATTGAGCTCGTCGGACTATCGCGTCGAGGACATAAGGGGACGAGGATTGTCAGTCGCCCGTTTCCCCGTGCTCGAGGGGGAACGAAGAGACGTGATCGTTTATGGTGGCCACTTGTCTGTCACCCATTGCCCAACGTAGGGCGGCTACCCTAGGAAAATTGAGTGCCTAGGTGCCTGTCCTTTTATCACTTTTCGTTCTTAATCACTATCGTACGTCATCTCTTGATCTTCCGTAAACGCATCGTCGCGCAGCACAACCACCGCATCGTCTATCGCGAATTCCGCCGTCTCTCCGTCTAGCCTACTGTATCAAGTAAGTCTTCTGCCTCTTTTCTTCCATTTTTCTTATTTTCGGCATCCCCTGTGGTGGATACAATAAGTGTCCTAAGGAGGATGTGGGTTTCCCGGGGATCACGGCGGGATTCCCTTGACTTAGGGTGAAGCCCCCGAGGTCACCTGAGGTATTAGGATGAGTACCCCGGGGACAGACGACATGGATTGGATGAACGACCCGAGGATATAAGATATGGTTAGGTGAATTTCCCGAGGAAGGATGCTAGGCATAGATGAATGTCGCGAGGACGCGCGTTAGCGTTGGATGAATGTCCCGGGGGCATGATAGTAGATGCGTGGGGAGGTTGACGTCGAGGTGGAGCGTAGGTTGTAGTCGTTGTCCTCATCGCCCTTTCACTTGATTTATGGTGGAAGGGTGAATTTGATTTTAAAACGTTGAATTCACGATTTTCCTCTACTTTTCAGGTGACCATGGCAACGTGGATAGCGGGAGTGATGGAAGTTAACATGGAGGCAGAATCCCTAGTGGCCCCAGCTGTCGAGGGGAAGGCCCGGACTATCGAAGGCTCTTTTATGAGCTGGCAAGAATACCAACCACGGGTCCATCACCATATATGCTCGAGATACGAAAAGATGAGGTTTCCCATGTACAAGTTTTGTTTCTGCGAAGCAGGTCTTCGGTTGCCCTTCACTAACTTCCAACTAGGTGTCTTTGACTGGATGAAGCTGGAACCTTCTCAGCTGCACCCCAACACTATAGCCTTCATTAGGGCATACGAGCTCGTCTGTCGGTATCTGAAGATTGGGGCCACCCTCACCCTGTTCTTTCGGCTTTTCCACCTGCAGAGGAAAATGGTTGATGGTCGACAAGGATGGGTGTCTTGAAGCAGCCGGGGAGACTTTTCAGGGTGTACATGGACTCTGTCAGGGACTTCAAAGAACGATTTTGTATGGTCCGACCTGTTTCTCACGAGGTGTACGCCTCGTTGTTTCGACGTGAAGTCTGGGAGGTGAACGGGCAGAGGGAGGACATCATGGTGTCAAAGGTACCCCTGGATTGGTCGGAGGAACACTTCAAGAAGGGAACAAATCATTATATTGTGTAGGCAGGGACTTTGGACGAGGATGACCAAGTGGGTTATCAGAGGTTGGTGCCCTTCGTGGTCAGTTTTACCCTAGCCAAGCTCACGACGCCCGACAGAAACTTTATCCTCAACGACCAAGGGAACATCCTCCAGCAGTCAAGGCTTATAAATACGAAGGCTCTGCTCGAGTGCTCGTCGGACGAGGAGGCTCTGCGTTTTCTAGGTAGCGGGTTGTATTCAGCTCGTCTCTTCTGTACTTTGTTATCCTCGTGTTTGCTAATCCTTTCTTTTGTTTTGTAGGAAGCATGTCGAGTATGCAAGAGCACGTGAAGAAATTGGCGGCCTCTAGGGCCGCGGCAAAAAGCAGAAAAGGGAGGGTCGCCCAGGTGATGTAGAAATTTCCTGTCGACCAGGGTGGAAAAGGCTCACCGTCTTCGCCCCAGGGGAGTCATTCCCTTGTGTCACAAGGGACCCCGAAGAGGGTGAGGGTCCATGGTCCTGAAACAGTCGTCGATCTCATAGAGGGTGGTACCGAGGAGGGGTTCCTTATCCCCAATTGTCATCAACATCCTGGCTTCTTACACGAGGCTAGGTCACCTGCGGTGTTGGTCTTAGAAGCAAAGGTGGTCCTCGGGGTAAGTCGAGACGTCCGAGGACAAAGGCTTACCGAGGACTTAGCCGCAATAATGTGGGTCTTCTCAACCGCTTTGGTTTTAAGTGATGAGGGATGTTCTTCGGTCGAGCTGGCCAAATTATAGGGGGATCTCGCCTTTGCTGAGTCGAGGATGACCATGCTAGCTGCTGAGCTGGACCTGAGCAGGGAGGAAAGCGCAGCGCAACGCAAGAAGAGCAGTGAGGCTGAGGAGCAATTGAACGTGCCGAGGAGAAACGGTCAAGGTTACAGGCGCAGGTCGAGGAGCTGGAGACTTCCCTCCGTCCCTCTGAGGACGAGACTGATGAGGAAAGTCTCTTGCTTTCCCAGGCTACGTTGTTGGGCAAGATCCATGAGCTCGAGCAAGACTGCTTAGGTGCCATCGATATCGGCTATTCTAGTGTTGTAGAGCAGCTTAGGATAGTGAATCTCGAGGTCACTCTAATCATTGAGGGGACGGAGCCCTACCACCAGGTCGTTGATAGACGGGTGGTTGCGATAGGTGCTGAGGAGGATGATGACAGAATGCCCACTGAAGAGGATGAGTGAGGCCAACAAGAAGTCTAGGTTTTATTTTTGTGTTCCTGGGCCTGCGTGCTCGTAAGTTTCCTGGCATGCGTACCTATTTTGTTAGGAAGTTTTATCGGGCCTGCGCGCCCTTTTATTGTAATTCTTGAATAGCTGGGCTAGTGCCCTTGATTGTATAATGATTATTTTGTATACAATGACATTTTATCTTTTTTTGCTAAGTGTGTGCCTGTTTTTGTATGGACTTTTGTATGCTTGATGTTTGTATGATAGGAGTAGTAGCTTGACGTTATTTGTTGTGCCCAGTAGTGTAGGGAACTGGCCGGGTTACCAGGGTTGTTACCCGGTCGGTTACGAAGGGGGGCCGTGGTCGAGACCCTCTCTTC